GGGGATGTCACAGAGCATTTCGTGAGTTAATTTGAGCAACGAGTGAAGAGTCACGTCCAAGAAATGTTTATCTTTGTTGGTGCTAAGGAATTTTGACAAAAACTGCTGTTAACAGCCCTTTTTCTGCCATTTTCCACTCAACACAACGTGGTATCAATGACCACGATGTGTTGTCGCAGTCAGAAAATGAAATATTATTTCCTTCACGCCACCACGATGTGTTCTACAACACCACGACGTGGTGCCTTTTCAAGTCTGCTTTTCGAGTCTAATCATATACATTATGAAGTATAAGTTTCCAAGTCTTTGAGCCACTTTCCGTAGCGGTCAATCACTTCCGTTTCCACACTTTTGAGCAAGCTATATCACACGTCAGCCACACAATCCGAGATGCATCTTATATCCCAGGGGAGTCTGTTCCGTTTTCTCCCTTTTTAATTTTATGTTTTGCATAGCATGCAATGAGGGCATTGCATTAATTAAGTGTGGGGTAGGGGGTATATTGCATTAGAAAAACAAGCATTTGATTTTTCAAAATTTGCATTGCTAGTTTTCAAAATTTGCATTCATTTTGACTTGAAACAATGGTTTAAGTTAAGAAAACCTAGCTAATTAAAATTTTTACTAGTATTAGATAGGATGATCCATTAAGAATCCAAATGTTTACCCGAGACAACACATGTTATAGTGTATGTGTGGCTTCCCATTTTTCTAGTGAAAAGTTCTGAAATATGAAAGGTAATCTGGTAGCTTATATGATGTAATAAGTTCTGCAGCCTGTACATGAAATCTATCAAGGAAAGCTTAAGTAGTCATTGCACTTAGAATAATGTCTCTAACCAATAAAGGTTGAAGTTAAGCTCCTTGATTAAGCATGTAGGTATTTGAGTGAAAAAAAAGTGAGATACATGTAAAAAAAGAGAGAAATTACTAAAAAGTTAAAGAATTTTGGAGCTGTCAAATGATGAAAACCAAAGATCAAAAATTTTGAAGAAATTATAAAAGTTGAAGATACCAAAAATCAAACAAAAAGGTGGTGAATTCAAATAAATGAAAAAACAAATATCAAAGACGTGGAGAATTCCAAAGAGCTCCATTGTGGTATCAAGATTTGTAATTTTTCTATATTATGTATGCTTCGAATGTTAACCAAAAATAGCTTGAGGTTAAGAAAGGTTTCTAGGGATGGATTCGGAGGGTTGCAAAAATGAGTGTCGTATAAGTTATGGGTTAAGGTTCATATGGATTGTTAGTATTTAGGAATGGGAGGTATTTAGGAGTAATAAACACAAATGCATGTATTGCGGTCTTGGGATAATGGCTGTATTTGAAAAGGATTGTTCTACGTGGTATTGGTGAAATAATAAGAATCAATTTGCTTGAGGGAAAGCAATGAATAAGTGTGGGGTATTTTGATATGTGGATATCTATACATATAATTTTACATCATATCTTAATATTTTTAATTAAATTTATGCCTTTTATCGAACAAAAGGTACTTAATTTGTTGTGCATTGTGTTGTAGGGGTAAAAGATATGCTTGGAACAGAAAGGAAGCTGGAAGCTAAGGAGTTTGGTTAAAGATTATTAAAAGAAGAAAAATGTACCCAACACGTCGTGGTGACATCACCACGACATGGTGTTTTGACTTTTCCCGATTGACGTCGAAGACTTGCTGAATACGGGATAATTACGAATACCACGTTGTGGTGGCCTCACCACGTCGTGGTGGTCTGTTTTTTGGGAAATTATAAATAGATGTCATTCTCTCCGAATTGGGAACTTTTTGCTGAGAGATATAGACGATTTTTGAAGGCCAAGGATCTGAAATGAAGCTTGGAAGCGAAGGAATCGATTGTAGCTTGGGAATTGAGAGTAATAGGGCAATAACTTCTTAATTATGATTTTATATTCTAGTTTGATCATGACTTTGCATATAGAATTCATCTTTATGATTTTACCTGCAGAAATCATGGGCTAAAACCCCATGACTTTCGTTTGGCATAGATTTACTTGACTATATGTGGTTTGATTTATGGATGGATTAAGTTTTTATTGGTTATTTGTTTAATTAGCTTATTAAAGAACCTCTTATGATTATGATAACTGTTTTATCTATTTATTGTTGAGTTTAATTAAGTTTGTATGACTATCTTTCTTAATTGAGCTTGAATCTTATGATCTTTGTGGATTGCAAAAATTGTAGGACTAGAGTTTTGACTAAAACCTAGGGTTAAATAGAAAAGTGGGTAAATAATCGTAGGAGCTAATATATGACGACCTATCATATATTGAATTGAATCAATTAACCAATTTGATTAATCTATTAAAAGTCTAACCTTTCTCGAACCGAACACTAGTAAACTTGTTAGTTTATCCGCCTGATCACCGAATGATAGGACTTGTTTGCTAAAGGATTAAGTTAATGAATATTAACTTGGTCATCTTAGGAATCGGTAACCCATTGAACATTAATCCATTGCACTTCCATAAAATCAACCATATTAGCAAGTATATTGAAGCCAAACAAAAGTCTCTCAAATACCTTGGTTAAAATCATCTCTTTTTGTTTCTTGCTTTAGTTTGATAATTTGCTTAGTTAATTGTTAGTTTAGCTTAGTTAATTAAGTTTCTAGTCTTGCAAAACTAGAGAAAATCATTTTTATAATTTTCTTAGTGATTTTGTTAGTAGTAGGTAAAAATTAGCTAATAATACCCCTCCTTGTGTTCGATATCTGTCTTTTGTGCTATACTATTTACAATAAGGTACATTGCCTTAAGTAGAAAGTAGTTACATTGGTAGGCTAAACTGTTGCGTAATTATTTTTCACATCAATGGTTTTACTACATACCAATATATTTTAAGTTTTTCCCATTCGATGTTTATTTTCAAGATAAGCTAATGGGAAAAGCTTAAAATATATAGGTATGTAGGAAAACCATCTAGACATACGCAAAGAAATTATACGAATTGAATGGAATGTTAAAGACGACTTGATGTAAAAAAAATACATAAATACGTAAAAAAAAATACAATTATACATTTAAAATACATAAACATCTATATAAAAAACTTTAAAAAAATACATAAATACATAAAAATACACATAAATACGTAATACATAAAAAAAACTCATTGAAAATACATAAAAATATGTAAATTACTTAAAAATACATATAAATCTGTAAAAAAATATGTTTATACATTTAAAATACATAAAAATACATAAACATCTATATAAAAAACTTTAAAAAAATACATAAATACAAAATACATAAAAAATAGCACATAAAAATAAATAAAAAAAATATATAAAATACTTAAAAATGCATATAAATACGTTAAAAAATACGTTTATAAATTTAAAATACATAAACAATGTAAACATATACATACAAAAACTTACAAATGGACATAAATACGTAAAAGTATATATAAATACATAATACATAAAAAATAAGACATAAAAATGCATAAAACAATGTATAAAATACTTTAAAACATATATAAATATGTAAAAAAATAAACATAGACATTTAAAATACATAAAAATAATAAACATATACATATAAAAAACTTTAAAAAAATACAAAAGTACGTAAAAATTGATATAAATACGTAAAAAATATATTTATACATTATATATAAGTTTTGACAAAATCTACATAAAAGACCAATTATTTTGAAAAGATTAACGATTTGATCCTATAACCGTCAAAAAGGGCTAAAGTGAATAAATTAACTGGTTTTTTGGGCTTTCCTATTAAAAAGGTTAAAAAATCGAGAATTTTTTATTTAAAAAATAAAATTTAAGATTTTATTAAAAAAGTTTTCAAATTATTAGGACTTTCTCTAGATTTCCCAAACACTTTTGCATCCACACGGTTCTCATAAAAAAAAGTTAGAATTCAGCTTATGAGTTTTTATAAAGGACAAAAACCATTTTTCTAATTTTTTTTTCTTATATTATCAACCTTTTCTACTTTTATTTGAATTATATTAATTATTATTTATGTTATGATTATTATTATTATATTACTTATTTTATTTTTCTAAACCTCGTTTTCTGGTTACGATTTTATTGAAACATAATTCAAAGTTATTATAATCATTAAAATTATAATTACCATATCAAATTAAATTTATATAATAATAAATATACAAATTATATAAATTTAATTTGATATGGTAATCATAATTTTAATTACCATATCAAATTAAATTTATATAATTTGTATATATAGGTGAATTTAAGGTGCAGTGTAGGAGTAAGTTAGATTTGACGTTTTAAAAAAAAAAAATTATATATATATATATATGGGGAACTTAAGAGGCCTCGTGGTAAGGTATCGTCAAAAGGAGGGACCAAATATACAAATTAGACATTTATAAAATCCCGCCATAACCTCTCTTCGTCTTCCCATTCTTCTTGTCATCGGCGATCTCTTCGACTCCCACCCACCGGAACCCTGTAACTAAACCATAAGGTTTCCTTTCAAACTTTCGATCATCTCAAGTTCATGAACCTTACTTGTGTTAACAGTTGATAGATCGTAGAACTTACTAAAATGTGGTTTAATTAGTTCAAGTTTGGATCTTCATTTATATACTTGCAAATGTTCATGTTTATATAACCACTTGTGGGATCTTAACTATTGATTTAACGAAACCAAATTGGCAATTTTTTTATGCATGCTTTGGTTATCGTATTTGATTAGAAGCTTTGTTCTGTTTCCATCACTTTGATGTAACCACCTTCTTTACTTCGATATTATCTGAATCGGCATAAACCCAGATCTTATTTCATCACTTTTTATCGATGAATATAATAAAAACTTTAGTTTTTTTCAATCACGAAAAGAGGGGTAGACAGATATTGAAACTGTCATCATCATCAAGTGCTTAAAATAACGAATTTATGACTCTGGTATATTTGGTTTTGCATTTCTCTTTGCAGCCTTGTCGATCAAGTATCAAGCTTGTAGGAACTTATCGAGAGATGAAAGGTCAACGCAAGAATAGCCGGGATAGAATTAGCGCTCTTCCTCAGGACACAATTGAAAAAATTCTAACTCTAATGCCGATTCGAGATGCATTGAGGACAATCATTTTGTCAAGGAAATGGAGGTATTGTTGGACGACAATGCCAAAACTTGTATTTAATGACAGAAATGGAAATGAAGAAATTGATGAATATAAGTTTGTCAAAGCCATTTTCCACGTTTTGTTGCTACACAGTGCTCCGATTTTGGAATTCAGTCTCTTTGTTAATACAGAAATTTTTAGCGAGATTGATCAGATAATACTTCATCTTTTAAGGGATAATAATATCAAGAAATTTATCTTTAATATTTCGGGAACCGACTCCTATTTGGTACCCAGTTCGTTCTTTTCATTGCAAGGATTGGAGCACCTAGAACTCTCATATTGTACTTTTGAGCTTCCAATAATGAATAGGGGATTTAGTAGGTTGAAGACCCTGCGCTTTTGTCCTGTTTGTATTGCTAACGAGATGCTTTTTCAGTTCCTTACCAATTGCCCCATAGTTGAGGAATTTACTTGGGTAAGGCGCATATAACTACTTAAGAAACTCTTCCAATAAAATATTTCTTACAAAGGTATTTCGATGCAGCTTATAAATGATTGGATAGACGTGGAGATTACTGAGTATGAGTTGGTTGAACTGTTTAGATGTTTACCTTCAATTCAGATTCTGGAAATCTCGCGGTTGTGTATCAAGGTAATACTTCACTTGATTGTTTTCTCTCATCGTGTTTTAAACTTATAACCTTATTTCACTACCCCACTTGAGAATACTTGTTCTTGGTGTGTGTTTTTCGATGATCTTTCGACTGTTCTATGTGTGATCTGCATTCTGCAGCTCTCCAAATTTGGAGAAGATCAAAGTAGAGGTAAATATCAACAACTACATACTATCACATATGGTTTTAATAGATCTTTCATGATTCTACTTACAATTTTTGACATGTTTTTCTGATTAGATGTGTTGGGAGCATGATTGGCGGTGTTGTCAAAAAACTTTCAATAACTTGCCTGATATTCAAGATTATTTGGGCCTCAACTTGGATCATCTTAAAGAAATGGAGATAATAAGTTTCACTAATCATGCTCTTGAGATTGAGTTTGTGAAGCTCGTCATGGCTAAGTCACCTGTGCTAATGAAAGCACTAGTAGAGCTCGATATATGTGTTTCTGTTGATGAAGAAGTCAAGATGCTTCGAGATTTGCTACGTATTCCATTTCCACGCGCATCACCAACAGCAAACTTCATAATCAAACGACCAAAAAATCATTACCGATATAAGAATTGAGCCAAATAAAGTTCTAATATGGTATAGATTAATTGTGTTGGTTTAACTATAAGGATTATGCCTTTGTGGGTTGATCACAAGTATTATGATAAGTGCTACTTTTTTTTTTTAATGTTCATTAACTCATAGTAACCACAAATTTTGATGCTTGACTCTATAAAATGTAAATGATATATTATGATTGCCCTAATGATGATGTAAAATCAACTTTACGGAATGGACATGCCCTCAAAAGAAGACGACACTCTTTTATAGTTGTGTTAGGGGGCGCATGGTTTGCAGAATATTTTCGAAGGTATTGAATTTGTTAAAAGAATTATAATATATTGTGTGTTTGGTTGACATGGAATGAATTTGTTTTCAATTTGGTTGACAAAGAATGAAATTTGTTTTAAAAGACCTAGAAATTAAATTGGTTAATATACCCAAAATACCCTTTTATCAATTTTTTTATAACTTATATAATTAATATTAAAAATTTATATCAGAACATATATATATATATATATATATATATATATATATATATATACTAATTTAATTCTTTATTTTTATTATTCATTCCTAGTATGCAGATTATCAAATTAAACGTATTCCATACATAGTTACCAACCTTTTCTACATTAATCTTTTATTTTTATTAATTTCTACATACACTACAAGAAGTCTGGGTATTAGCGGCGACGCCTGTCGTCGCTAATGGTTGAGGTTGTCGCCGCTAATACCTTTAGCAGCGACATGTCGCTGTAGATGCGTCGTTGGTAATGCTTCGTCGCTAATACACATCCAGACGCCACTAAAGGTTACCTGTCGCCGCTATTGCTTTCGTCGCCGCTAATAGCCAGCCGTCGCCGCTAATAGTGTGTCGCTGCTAATACACAGTTGTCGCCACAAAAGACGTCGCCGCAAAAACTGTTTCGTTTTTTTTTTTTTTTTTTGCTTATTTAACATTAAATTTATAAAAAACAATATAACATTTATAAAATCTGATAACTTTTTATAGAAATATTAATCCATATACAAACAATCCAAAATATTAATCCATACACAAACAATTCAAAATATTAATCCATACCACCTAATTAAAGTATTATTCCAAATTACAAAACATTTTCATAAAATCCTAAAGTAACTACTCGTCCTCATCATTTCCTTCATCATTTGGTGGCGGTAATGAGCGAAACCACTTTTCCAATGCTACAGAACAGGTCGGGTCCTGTAGTATTGTTTGCAGCATTTCCAACTACAATGAAAACAAAATATATTACCAACATATCATAATAACATTATAATTTCCAAAGATTATACCATTCTACAAAATATCAACACATCAACATATCAAATACACTTAAACATACATCTACTTTTCATTATAACATTGTACTTTCAAAAAATTACCAAACTATAAAATATCAACATATCAAACCATAACCAACATATCATTATAGCATTCTACTTTCCAAAAATTACCAAACTACAAAATATCAACATATCAAACCATAATCAACATATCATTATAGCATTCTACTTTCCATTATAGCATTTATTTTTCAAAAATTACCAAACTACAAAATATCAACATATCAAATCATAACCAACATATCATTATAACATTCTACTTTCCATTATAGCATTGTATTTTCCATTTTATCATTATACTTTTCAACTTAAACTAACAATTACTTGTGATTGCGGTTGTTCTTGTGTCACTGGTTGTTCCTGATCGTACATGGACACAACGGTTTGGGGTTTACGCCCAATGCCTCTGATATGTCCGCGTCGAACACCCAATATTCTTTCAAAACAGTTTTTTTATATCAGTGGGTGTTAGACCGTTTGCTTCAGAAGTAGCTTGGGTTCGTTGGTTGATCTCCTGGAGTAAAGCATTCTGTATTTTCAAAAAATAATAAAAATCATAAAAATTAGATTTACTAAATACCCTTAACGATATAAACACTTATATGAAAATATAAATTAACCACTTACGTATTGTTGCTCGACTGCAGGGCTATAAAATACCCCTTGTCGATTGGAATTAGCCTTACGAAAAGCTTCAATTCGACTGATATCCTATTTAACATTAAAAATTAGTTTACTTATACTTTAAATAAATATTTAAATATATCATAACTTACTTCTTTGAAACATGCATTGCTGTATGAGCTCGACCCCCCTCTGTTTACAACTACTTGTTTTGCACGGCGTTCTGTGTTTGACGCCAAACGCCTTAAAAATTATGGCGTTTGAAAATGTTCGACTGCCTTCGCCCAATTTTCACGTGACATACCATCGGGGGGCCTGTTTAATGTGGCTGGGATATCTGCAGGCCCCCCGATTTCCTTAAAATAAGAATGAGCTTTACTTTTTCGGCCTCTGTAAACTTTTGCAAGTGTCGAATCAATGCTCCGCAACAATTGAGCATGCTCCTGATCCATGTTAACCTTATCCAAATCAAATTTATTCTGCAAAATACAAAAAATTTAGTTAATTAAATAACAATCACAACTAAACTTAAAATTGTATTCAAGTTACCTTTAGATGCACAACTGTTGCATTCCTTAAGGCGGGGGAAACATTGTCCCAACCAGATACGTTCAAAGGGACGTTGTTCCACAAATACCTCCCAATTTCATGTGTGAACCAATTACCACGCTTCCCGACAGGGGAATATGTGATCTCCCTGTCGAAATCCAAATCCACGGGCTTTCCCTTGTTTGTCCGTATCAACTTTCCCAGCTCGATATTTTTTGACATGCCCCTTCTTTTTTTTGGAAGCTCGGCTGAAAAAATACAATTAAAAATATTAGTCACGATAACTTATTATAAAATAATAAAAATAGTTAATAAATATATCATAATAAAACTCACCATCCTATTCGTGCTGACCACGACCAAAGCCTACTGGAGGTGGTGGATCCCCGACTCCATCACCTCCATGTCCAAGCCCCATAACATCGGCCATCATGGCCAAGAGTATCGCCCAAGTAAACATCATCTGTAGCCTGTAAATTACAAGATGTACAATATAGAAATACAATATGAATAAAAGTTAGTTACCCTGCGAAATTGTAAGATATACAATATAGACAAACAACATAAATAAAAGTTAGACAAACAATATGAATTAAAGGTACATTTCAAATAAAGTTTCTATTACAAAAAAAAACATTTGATTTTCTTAATCAGAATCTTCATCGTATACTTCAATGTCTTCTTCATCAGTATCATAATCAAAATCGTCATCATCATAATCAGTCTCTTCATCGGAAACATTATCGATTCTACCCGTTGGGGGAGGTACTTCAGTCTCGTCTTCATCGTCATAATCAGCATTGTTTTGAGCTACATCAACATTGTTTTGAAAGTATTGTGAGAAGTCGATAAAAAGTCTAGCTCCAGATGAAGAGTTGTTTTGAACTATGTCAACATTTTCGGCCTCCAGATTGTCGACATCTTGGACAGAGTCACTGTAAGCATTTTGGACACGAGCATTGTCGGATGGTAGATCCCAAATATTTCGATGATTAACATGCTCGACGACACAACGAGGGTTGTTGTTTTGGTTTCTTCGATGATTAACAGGCTCGCGGATGTAGAACACTTGTTTGGCTTGCGAAGCATATATGAGTTGATCATCTTGGTACGCTTCTTTTTCTGTGTCGATACTTATGAAATTATCATCATGAATATCTCCCGTATCGAACCACTTGCACCTCCATAATCTCTTCTAACTGGCCATAATATTTCTCTCCATTCTCACCAACCGCTAGAACCCCAGAGTTTTGCGTTTTGCGTTGTGCATCACGACTAAGTACCATTAACCTAACACCGTTGACTATGCACGCGGTGTAAGTATAAACATCAATTTGTGAACCGATTGAAAGGGCTGACAACTCTTTGTGGAATTCTGGAGAGTTTTCTTTTTCCATCTGATAAACCTACTAAACATATGTTGATGTGTTATGTATTCTTGATTTGTTTTATTTATCAAAGATATTTGTTTGTTAATTATTATTACCTTTTCAAGAAACCAATTGGGAAATTCGGTCTTTTCGTCACTTTCAGGATGTTCAGATTTGAATTTTCTATATTGATGAATATATATATATATATATATATAATTGATGAATGGAAAAAAGTAACAATAAATAATGAAAGATAATTAAAAGTAAGAACACTTACTCGATGTATTGTCTGACTTCTTGACAACTATTCAATATAAACCATTCTATATTACGTTTCTCCCTTATATCAAGATGTTTGATTTGCGTTGCGTTCGTCGGTTGACACTTGGACTCAAACATCCAAAACTTTGTTTTTTCAATGACAACGTCTTCGTTTCTTTCAAGGCGATTGACATCTCGAAGGTACATCGAACAAAATGTCAAAGCTTCTTCAGCAATATAACCTTCAGCTATACAACCTTCCGGCCTCGCCTTATTTCTGACATAGTTTTTTAGTTTTTTCAAATACCTTTCGAACGGATACATCCATCTGATACATACCGGGCCTCCGGCAATCGCTTCATCAGGTAAATGCAAAACTAAATGAATCATAATGTCGAAAAACGCTGGAGGATAAATCAACTCTAACTTGCACAAGATTCTAATAATGTCTTCTTTTGCTTTCCTCATATCCTCCACCTTTAGTGTTCTGGAGCAAATTTGCTTGAAAAACGTACAAAGATCTACAATTGGTGTAGAAGTTTCTTTGTCCAATAACGCTCTAACTCCAATCGGTATCAAACGTTGCATAAGAATGTGATAGTCATGAGATTTCAACCCAATAATGTTAGTATCATTATCTACCACTTTCTTACTGATGTTAGATCCAAACCCATCAGGAAATTTAACATATCTTATAAATTGACAAAAGATTTTGCGGTCAGGTTTCTTGAATGAGTAGCTTGCATGTGGTCTAGTGAACTTGTTACCCTTTTTTTGCAACCATTGATTACGTCGGATATTCAGATTTTCCAAGTCCTCACGTGCATTTGATGT